ATCCTACACACAAGACAAAATGATCACTCTTTCCGTGGAAGATTCCTTTAAGGTATCGTTTTCTGTGGTAATGAGGGCGGAGCTTTTTCCGTGGAGGATTCCTTTAATTAGGGTGCTATTTCAGTACTGCTATACTTCCCACCTTTCTTCCGCCACTGCGATTCACTCTTCAGTTCAACGAGTCTTTATGACTGCATAGAATCCGCCTTATGATGGGAAAATTCCAAGTATTTCATTCACGTTGTAAAATAGTGCTAGTGAACGGCAATAGAAGAGTTTTAAGAGCAAGCACTTTTGGAAACTTTTTGTTCTGATGGAAGGAATCGATGATGCGAAAATGCACTTTCTCAGAGAAATCTCTTTGCATAAGGTAGCACTCCTGGCCTTTTCGTTGACATCATGCGAGCTTCTCTTTCATAGTTTCGAGGGGCTGTTCCTATGTATGGTAGCAATTTTTAATTTTGGTCCTTCTCTTGCAATAAAAATTTCCTTTCCTCCGATAACGCCCACAAACCCCAGGGGCCCTGTCCAGATGGCATCCAGAATTTTTCTGCTCGGCGATTTTTTGGGTACTCACTCTAGGTCTGCTTTGCAAACAACATATTTTATGCCTAATAGTAGAGAAAATAAATGTGTGGCATTGACGTTTCCTTTCCGAGCTGCGCCACGCATTCGACCCCCATTCAGGATCAGAAATGCTGTGAATGCGATTTTGTTGTGTTGTGGCGTTAGCCGTTGTTAAAGCCCCAAAGAAAACTCTGATCTTAGCCAAAAGACCGAGAAGTGACTCCTCTCTCTTATGCGTTCCGACCAGTGTGATACATACCAGTTACCACCTGGCGGGATGGAAGGGAACGCATCTTGCGCGATTCTCACTAGAGACCGAATGCTCGGCCCATCTCGGAAACTCATGAACGCCACTTTTATAATGTGCCATGCGTTATCTTGGCCTTTAGCATGCAATACAGAGACAACTGAGGCCTTCTGAGGAGGACGTAGCTCTGGGCTTCATGTTTGCTTCCTAATATTCTCACTGAACAAGGCCTATCCCAAACGGGGCATCTCTCTTTGACTAATACGTAGGGGGCCAGATCTTCAGAGCGAACGAAAGTGGCTCATGCATTCTGGAACATCTCCTCCCCCTTGTAAGTATTAGTCCCGTTTTCAACAACCAAGACATGTGTTTTAAATGCATTGCCATCCCAGGCCCTCGTGAATTGCGATAGTGGCCTTAGTGGCCGAGGTAACCCCCGATACGATACTAATGCGACTGAGATTCAGCCTTTTACCAGGATGCATGTCGTTTGACTTTTTCTAGTGTTGTCACAGTCCAACTCGTGCTTACTGTCCTCGAGCAGGAGGGCAGCTTTACTTCAATTTGACGTCGCGTTCTATCACTGTCGTTCTTCAAATCAGCAGATAGAGAGACATTTTTCACTGGATTTTCCTAAAGAGAATAATCCATATCTTTCCAGTTTTTCAACAAAGGCGACCGCACATCGCACTGGTACTTGCTGCTGGCTGGCGAGGTCCAACTGTTTCTACCCGGCTATTATCCAGTGAGTTTGGCACTTTTTTCTAATCTGGTCAAACATATCGTCGAGAGACGCTACTCAAGGATCCTCTTCTAAAGGAAGTTGCCATTGATAGCACAACGAATAACCATTATTTCTCCAATCTTGTTTGAAGGCAGGATTACGATATGCACTGAGAAGGGTTTAAAGGGACATGGGGTGTTCAATAGTTCGTTTCAGTCGAACAAAGCCGAAGACATCCTCCAAGAAAACGCAAAAACGGGATCCTTTGCAATGGCCGTTGATTTTTCGCTAAATGGACGAGTCAAAGCCCAGCCAGCGGCTGTGCAAACAATCACCGCAAGTAGCAACGTGCCAAACCCGTGCCTCCAGAATGAGTCGCTGCATGCTAGCACTTAGCTCGTCTGAATATCCAATAACCCATCGGTGGATTCGCTCGGGGCGAGCGCTTTTTTCAAGTAATGCCTCCGCAATCACCACTTTCGTAATTCAATCGCCACACCGCGCTTCCTTGGCAGTAGGGTGAATATCGGTCGAGGAACCTCAACGGCACGTTGAGGATTTTGCCTGATCAGTTACGCTCTCCCACGCGAAACATTCACACTCTCCATGCGCGAGCCGTCTCCGCACGTCTACTATCGGCACTACTCTCGCACAGTACAGGAGCCATGGTTGAGGAACTCCTCGACCGTTATTCACACTGTTTGGCAACACAAGTCGCTGCTTTCTCTGCCTAATGCTTCCTGTCTTTCTTTTTATGAGTAATCGCTTCCTTAGAGTTTTTCTGCAACTTTCACTGTTCCTTTTGCACCAAATCCCTCTCAACGCTTACTTCAGTCAGAGACACTTCGCCTTTTTTGCTTGTTCAGTGAACCGTCGTTCCTGTCTTGTCCAGAGAACGCTTTATTTTTTTTTCCGAATTCTGAGCTTTGAAAAATCGCAGTCGTAATTTCTTTGTTCTTGCTGGGCGTCACTCCTTTCTTCATTTCAAGGCATTCTTTGCCTAATCTCGTTGTCGATGAGACCCTCTTCGCGACGCCATCTTTCTCTTTCTTGGAAACTTTAAATGAACCAGAACCCAATTTCGAGGCATTCATGAATGAGCAAGGTATACAGTTCAGCTGCGCGCAAACCTTAGTTTCCATAGGCTGAAGGGATGCGTTTGAGTTCCACATCAAACTTAAATGGAACTTCTTGATGAATGACTGTTAAACGAGCTATCCATCTTGAGCGTGTTGTTTGGGTGTTTTGGCTCGACTTAATAGAATGTGAGATGTAATTTTGTTCGTTAGGCGGTGATTAATTTCCTCCATTCCATCTACGATCTCATTCCTTTTTTGTAGCTCTCATAAATTGTCGGTAATGCTTTGGGAATTGCTCGCCTGGCCTTAGCCGGAAAATGGGTCCTTATCTATGAACGGCCTGAAATCTCTTCACGAGTTACATTCAAAAATTTATGAGGAGCAGTCAGAAGACTGCCAGCATAACGATGACTGGCGATGAGTTCATCTTGATAAATGACTGGTGTGATCGGGATTCCCATACTCTCCCTGCAGAAAAGAGGGCATGCCAAATGCTGTTTAGTAATCGGACCCTCAGCTGAAGCCCTGATTCGAAACTCGCTCATTTCCACTTTTCTCCATTCATCTTTGGGCCTTCATCCTCATCAACTCATCTGCTTCGGATGACGTTAAACATTCTGCCATCGTCCGTTCATATACCAAGTTGCTTTTGTGAGTAGGATAGGGCTATCAGCAATGATAAAAGATAAGCCTTTCGTGACCTAAAAGTGTGCGGCGATAGGACCTTACTATTTATTCATTTATTTACTTACAAGTCAATCACAACAGTGAGAAATCATGGATAAATGACCCCGGGGTGGCACGAGATCGATTGGCTTCCAATTCAATTTAGCGTTTATGGTTAAAGAAGAAAAGCTAAGTGTTGACCAATACATGTGAACCGTTACCGACTGATCAGCGAAAAAAGGTGGTAGGAAGGGTGCACGCAAAGTTGCTAAAGGCCCTGAAGATAATCCTACTGCCGAGGCTGCAGCGCAACAGGGGCGGGTGTAGGGGCACCATTACCAGAGCAGACGTGAGCCTAAAATATTAGGGTAGCGTATCGTGTCCGCGTCTCGCTCATTCCTCATTGTCTCTTGCCTGTTCTCTGGCCTCTGCGCTCTGTGTCTCTTCGTCGTGGCACTTACACCTTCCAGGAAAGAGCTTCTCAGTTACAATGTCCTCTGATATCTTCTGCTTCCTTACTGTGAGGGCATTCACTTTGCTCCTACTCCCCCCCCCCCTTCACCCCAGTTTCATTACGAACCACAACACATCACACAGTATAAGTATAAGTTTATTACGTCTGCAAAAGGCACACGTGAAAAGAAAAATGAGCATCTCTATACAAAGAACAGTGTGCTTATAAAAAAAAAACTCAAATACTAAAACAGGTAACTTCGGAATCAGTCTCACAAAACTATGACTCTTGGTTCCTCAGTATTGTGACTATACGATGCTTGAACTGAGCTTGTGACAGAGTAACCGGTATGTTCTTTGCAATGTTTATATAATCACTGCCAGCTCTATACGTGAAGCTTTTGGCACGTAGATTAGTTTTAGGTCGCGTTAAGGAGATTTTCATAGAACCTCCCCTAGTTCTCGAACGTGTCATCTTGAAGACATTGGTAGAACCTGACAAACAAAGACCTTGTATCAGCTTATGAACTAAGCAGAGATCAAAAACACATGAGTGATCGTAGAATGCCTTTCATCCCGAGCAACAAAGGTTCAACATCACTCTATAAAGCGCTTCATTTTAGGGATCCGAAGCGTTGCCGTTGTGTTCACTGTCGGCCGGCTCCCTGTTTGGCGAACTCGACATCGACCGTCACTGCTGTTCGGCAGTCGTCACTCGGCAGGCCGAATTTGTTCGAATATCACAACGTCATTTTGTTGATGCGTTATAATAATTATAGTTTCGCTTAGGATCCGCGCTTCACTTGAAATAGAAAAAGGAAATAAATTACGGAAAGCTGCGGCTTTAAGCCTCCTATTAATGGTGAGCAGAGCCATAGCACAAATATCATGTTTCTCAAGACTGGCTTCTAATATGCAAGTGTTTTACGCCTCACTGCACACATGCAACATTGGCGTGCACAGTTGCCACAAATACGGACAAAAAGTGGTTCACATGAAGGGCGAACGACGCTAAAGAGGGACAAGTGGATAACAGAAATCATTCGTTATCGCAAGATACACGGTGGTGTTAATGGCAATGAGTTTGAAACCGCGTAAAACAATCTCATCTTTGATTGAATCGGGCTGAGGCCTTACAGGGGAGGTCTTTCAGGACATGGAGCGCTTTTTCGAAATGGTTCCCTGTATGTTGACTCATGCGAGGAACACAGAACCTTGACCCATTTTTCCTGAACACCTCCTGGGATGTCAAAGCTGTGGTGAAGAAATGGCCCAGAGTTTCGATCCCCGGTGATGACTAATTTTTGCATATATAGTTTGACTCCCCCAAATTGCACCCCGAATGGCGCCATCGTCGAGAATAGATGTCATTGTCGTGTTTTGTGGCATTTTGGAGGCGCCAGCATAAATTGCAAAAATTTGTCATCACGGAGGATCGAACTTGGGACCATTCTTCCCCGCTGTTTTGACATTTCCGGGAGACGTTCAGGAAAAATGGATCACGGTTCTGTGTTCCTCACATGAGCCTCTACAGCATTCAGAAAACCATTTCGGAAAAAAAACCTCCATCCTCTTGAAGAGCCCCGTTTGTTTAGGCTCAAGCAGGAAGAGACTGCCAGTGCTGTTAGCATCTGTATTCATCGCGGATTTCGCTCCTCCAGATTATGCAGTTTTTGGAAGAATACCCCTACCTCTGGCGATGAGCTCAAAATTATATTTATTGAAGCTTATTTAACAAAAATAAAATCACTTTTTGAAGTGGCTGCCGTTTCAGTTGGCACAGAAGCGAAGCCTTCAGTGGAATCCACTGACCGTTGTAAATAGGCGGCATTGGGCTCATCCCAAGCTTTCTTAAGCGATTGTTCCAACTCTTCGAAGTTTCGATGATCGTTCATGACAAAAAAACGGCCCAGAACGCAATCAATGGGACCACTTATCCCTTCCTTCCGCATTGGGGCGAGTCTCATCTGTGCTGACGTCATAAATGTGAACGTTCTGCTCTGCGTCTCTCCCAACCGTTTAGTATCCGCAGCTAGAATCCGACGGCGGATGGAGGTGACCAGGCGTAAAGGTCCTGGAGCTCGCGAAGCGTCGCGCTACGGTGTGCCTAAGCGCTAGGACATCCCATGGCTGCAAAAACGCGCAACCCGTCGCACCCTTTGGGGACCCGCTTGCCTTATTATTAATTATGTTTCCCTTTCTCCGTCCTCCGTTCTGACCATGAAATCCCCTTCAACAGAAAATGAAGAAAATGATGAGCCACTATGTTGCCGAGTTAACGAGCACTGAAGTCAGGCCCACTGCTGAGACTCAGCGCAACAGAGTCGGGTGCAAGAGCACTTTTTTGACGTAACACGAGCTCCAGACGCTGTCTTGGATGTACTTATGAAGGCACTTAACTCAGTTCACTTGCGTTCAACTTAATTAGTTCCTTGTCGGAACAAGGCGGGGGGGGGAGGCCAAATGCATTCACAAGCGACAGTACGGGAAAGTCATATGAATGTGTACATTACTGGATTTCAATGGCACTTTTTCGGTATGTGGTGCGAATCTGAAAGTTACCAGGTTAAGATTACCACCCTCACGAAAAGCTGTCGGTATTCCCAAGCTTTGCATACCAGGCTCGCAGAGTGATTCTGACGTACATGGTGAGGTAGAGACTCTGATAAATAATTTCTAACACAGATCCGAGCTCTGAAGCAATCCGAAGTTATGACGTGTGAGGCTAAAACATGCTATTAATCAGTCCACAAAATGCGCCATGCATTGGTCATCACTTACCATTAAAGGCAAACCCTGGGATGAAACTGGTAATAAGAGCGCTACGTAGTGATGAATGAGCTACAACGACCTGAAAGTGGAAAGGAAAGCAAGCTTTGGGAACGCTGAAATTAAGGCCTTAACCTTCAATAAGGTCGGATGTGGTACGATGGCGAGGGCGATCAAAGAAGACAAAACACGCGAGAGAGCACGCCGTTCGAGAGAGCACGCTGATCTCTACATCGCGGTGGGTGGGAAGCGTTGCAACGGGGTCGATGGTTGCAGGCCCGTAAGGATTAGCGCCCTAACCGCGCAATTTTTGCGACGAAGCTGGAGTGATCTAGGTAGGTAGGTACGGACCTTACAATTTCCCTCGCGGTATCCTTCCCACAAGTTGGGCTAATCCCGGGGCCTGTAAGATCGTAGCGGTATTTGAGTGCGACAAAGGAGGGGGAAGGGAAAAAGGGGGTATGGGATAGCTGCTTCACGTGAAAGGTTACATTCGTCTCCTTATTGGATTAGACATCAGTTAATAAGAGCGATGGCGATATGGGAAGCATTACAGGCCAAAGCGAAGCCCAATGTGGAAATTTTGCCTATGGGCCAAAGTACATGTGATAGCGGCGCTACAACCACGTCCGCAATCCAAACTTGAGGAAAGTTGCTTGAAACGAAAATATCTATAAATGAACGCCCTCTGAAAAAATAAACGGTAGTGGGTGAGGTGCCGGCGAATTTTTTTCTTTTTCTTTGCGCATGGTTACAGTTGGAAGCAGCCATCCGTTTTCAGAAAGCCCCAACCCACCACAAACACGCACCACCCCAAAACACTCGAACCATAAACCTCCAGTCCACTCATCCCGTTGTCATACAACAACCAATGCTGTCAGCAAGAGCACAGATAAGTACTCATTCTAATAATCGTCGCCACTCTTCATTTTATTTCTCGTGTTATCTGCTGCTTTCCGATTTTCCCCTTCAATCGCATACTGGCATGCAAACGTCGCACTTTGATTTATATTTAGGGCAGCGACCACGACAATTTCAGGAAGGGTTTAAGTGTGACGCGGTGGTGCTAATGATACGCCAGAAGCGAAAGAAAGCAGAAAAATCCGTCAAAAAGTCGCAAACGGAACCCTTTTTTGGTCGTTGATTTTCACTCGATGAACAGGTAACAACTTAAGAAAGTGGATGGAATGAATGAGTTTACCGCATAAACAAAAAAAACCACACCCCCCCACCCCCGAAACAAGGTTTGATGCACCCATGCTAAACCTAACGTCGCTTCAATCGAGATACGCCTATTGCGCCGAGCTTGCAACGCACACTTGCCCAAGCGAACGAGTGGAACCAGTGGCGTACGCTGCTGGGGGCGGAGTGCGCTGCGGAGGTCCTGCTCAGCAACCACAGCACCTTTCGCCGTGGAAGCGCCACACACATCGCTTCCTTGGCAGCCAAGTAATTGCTCCGTGTGGCGCAGGTTCTCCCCCGATGCGAAAATTCCTTATCGTAATCGCTTCCTTCAAAGGCAAATCCCGGGATCTAGTAGGAAGGAGTCGCAACAGAAATTACAAGGCTCCTAACTCCTAGATCACTTCCATATCGTCGCAACACAGTATCACAGAAACAGAAGAGCATACTACACACACCAACAGCCGCTACACTCATTCCAGGAGACACCGCAACGCATCGACGCCCAGTTGCAACGCTTTGAACCCAGCCCGCGAGACATGGGGCAGTGGTCGCCCGTCGCACCCCAACATAACCACACCATTAACACCGAAGGTTTGATGACTCACCTTCTAGTATTGTTCGCAAGATCCTCCTTGCTCCTCCACTTCCTGTTGTTCCGGCAGCTCCCACCACACACAACACAAGCTCATCACTGCGAAGCGCCTATTGCAGTTTAATCCCGGTTTGCCTTTAAGTTATTTGCGAGTGTTTAGGCGCACCAAATCGAGATAGTTAACACTTCAATAGAAGCGTTGGCACATTCATTAGGGTTGCCTGTCTCGGGTCCCATTTTATTTCGAATTTTGAAATACACTATGACTACGAGAAACAGACTCCAGAAGTACTGTCATCATGCAAAAACGCAAAAGCATTTTGAGGAGTCTCACAATCAGTCAAAGTTATATTTCGAGAGCAAGAAGTTTGTGAGCGCTGAGATATTGCTTAGTGCAGAATTGACATCTTATATTAGGTTGGTAACTTGAAATGTCGCTTCCTTTTGTGCTTTGTTTCTCAGCTTAAACACAACCTCGTAATATGGGAGACCATTCATTCGAGAGAGCGATTCAGCACGCATATTGCGAAATCTTAGGCGCCACTGAGCGGATGTTCTTCGAGCCAAAACTTTTGCTCGAAGATGATTGATCAGAAAACATCGTCTGAGCGTATATATTCAAGCAAGGAAAAACGGCCAACGAATCTCCACTCATTGTGTGCAAAACATTGAGCAGCAACACTCAGTCTCTGGTGCACTTTCAGCTATGGTTTCAGCTCTTCCAAGACTGAGGTAAAGGACTTGAGGACGAGAGCGTGGATTTGACCTGTACCTGTAGAAATGAAGAATTAAAGAAAGCCAACCAATTGAGCTCTCGTCAAACTACAGAAACTCTTAGGGAGATTTGGCTGTGTCAACAGTAAAATTTAAAAGTTTCTACGTGCGACTGTTAAGGCCTTTCAGGATAGAAAATGGGTTCGGCCTATTCTGAGCGACACGAGCAAGCAGTACTGGTTGCCAATACTGGAACTCTGCTCCATAACTCCAAGAAGAAGAAGGTTCTTGACTTCGTTGAAGCGCACTTTTACAGAGGATGTTCCCCGATAACAAAGTGAGAAGATGGCCGCGGTTGGAAGCAGATGGACAGCTGAGGATGACTCCGAAACTGGACGTCCACGGAAAAAAGTCCTGCTTGTTCATGATGAAACAGTATAGGACTGGCCCACTATGGAGTGCTGATTGTTGGTCAGACAGTTACAGCTGAACCCTGCGCACAACAGCCAGCCCGCGTTGGCCAAGCGCTGCGTCGTCAAGTGGGAAATCCGGCCATTATAAAACTATGGCACGATAACGCAGGACCACATGTCGCGAAAATTACGCAACAAAAATCGAGGAGTTGGGCTAGAACGTTCTACCTTCTGCGCCATATAGCACAGATCTGGCGCCGTCCATCTATCATTGAGCCAGGTCAATGCCGCGCTCCTTAGCAGCAAATTAATTCAATAACCGCGACAACGTCAAAATTTGAGTACCTAACTTCTTCGAGTCGTACCTGAGTACGAGGTAGGCCTCCATGCTTTGCATAACAAAAGGTGAAGAGTGAGTGAATAACATGGAGGAAATAATTTAGGTTGATGTGCTTTGATATAGCTTTTATACTTAAAATAATCGTTGATCAAAAACGACATTTCAAAGTTACCAACCTAATATATTTTAGAGCTTGCTTGGCCTTTTTTAGTAAATGCAGGCCTCACAGTGCTTTTAAAACACAAGATGGGCGTGAAGGTGTCGTGTAAGAAAGAAAAGATAAAAAAATTGCAGCATTGCGCACCTACGCTGGTCAGCAATGTGTGAACTTCTCTGGTCTCCCTTTTCTAGAGATAAAGTTTAAGGGAAAGTCGCCAGATCAGCCCGGCAAGCTGGAATGGGGTTGGGGGATGAATGGGAATGTTTGAAACGCTGAGCTCAAAGCTGCTTATCATACCTGTTGAGCTTTTCTCCAAACCCTCTTACTAAGCGCGCAAAAGCGTCGCGCTAGTGGTTCGGATTCGCAGACAGGAGGCCGCTAGATCAACTTCTTGGCGAGTTTGCTCTTTTGCTCCTATCAACAACATAGCAATGGGTGACAGCTGACTTGATTATTCCGTCAAGGCTTCCCAACACATTCTCATCTGAACAGTTCACGAACAGTTATGGGACAGTCTCGATAAGGCTACATGTAGGATGGCGTGGGCAAAAAACTTTCATAACTTCGTTCAGAGAATGGCTCAACGGACGCGGAAAGTAATTCTCTTCTTAGTAGTGCCCCAAGTCGAATGCAAGGGTATACATCACATTTCAGTTGGTTGGGATGACTGATGAACCTTTCTTGTACTTCATCCCTACCCAAGTTGGCGCTGATGATTACAGATGAAGTGTGGTTGGCATATGATGTTACTTTTGGTGGTTATCTCATATCATTATGGCTTGGCTCATCATTATTCTGACAGTAATACTATTTGGGAAGCCGAGCGAGGCTCATGCTCCTAAATTTGAAAGAAGCCATCACGCCTGAGTGACCACCAGAATACGGAAAGCCCATTTAAAATGCCATTATTGCGTTTATGGCTTATCGTTCTTTCTATTTATGCAATAGGCAAGCGAGAACTACCAGACGCGTGCTTTTTATTGCGAGAAAGTACCACAAGCAGCGAAATTTCGATTTCAGGTATTCCATCTCACCTGATAGCCACCCGATCCGACGCTGGAGTCGTCCATCCGTTGCCGAACGGAGACGTGAACGGTATACATTCGACTACAGCAGTAACATCATACCCACAGGAATATCACGGAGGTAACGAGCTTCTTCTCATGGTGATTGAGTAACGGAGGTGTGTGGGCGAATGATCCCTCTGGCGAAGTCTAATCCGCTCAGTGAATTCATATTTTGACATCTTCCTTGTCCTAGTTTTCACTTGCTTTTTCGAATGGCACTAAGCTAGTTGGACTTCCTCTTTTTGAATTCTCGAATGTTTCATGGCGTTTTCCTGCTTTCTAGTCTAGTGGGTTTACACTTTTGGAGGAATCGTCAACAGTCATAAATAATAGGAACGTTGAGCTTGACCTCCACTTTAACCATTGAAGATCACCATCTGCGTATTTTTGAAGAACCTCTTCCCTAAGAGCACAAGAAATGGTACCGCTCACCGTGTTAATCAATCCCGTTTTGAATGCGCCACGCATTCTACAATCATTCAAAAATTTGACCTCGGCGACCTATCATGCCTCAAAGCTGGCGGGTCCGGCGATCTCCGCCCACCGATCATCTGATCACTCGCCGTAGTTCAATACGTGGCGAGTGATTAGATAGCTGAGAGAGCGTAGTGTTGAAGAGGGCACAGCGATGAGAGTCGCATCAATGCTCAAATCAACGGGCAAGGAAGGGGTCCCATTTCTCGGGTTCTTCTGGCCGTTTCTCATGGTTCTTCCTTCTTTCGTGTACCACTCACCATCAATAAGTTAATTAGCAATGGGTTGCTTTTTCATCGTGAATTCATCGTCCTTTAAATATGAATGTCCCCGGATATATAGGGTGTG